TTTCCCAGGGGTTATGCAGTCCAAGTGCTGTTGATGGAAGATATTCACAGCTAAAGCATCCCTGATGGGTGGCCACCCAACCTTTTGCATTCTGAGAGTTGAAGGGGGGGAAGTAGCCTGAATTCTGACAATTTCCCACACAGAATTTCAAAACCACAGCAGCTGTTTTTCTCACAGAAGTCCATTCTACTTACTTTGTAGCAGCCATCAGATTCTGAAAAAGCAGCAATTCCTTTAGGAAGATGATTTTTGAAAGTGAGCAAGGCCTGGTCAAGCTTCAGTTCATTGTCTAATTGCACACAAGTAAAAGTTTATTTTACTAGAAAGCACTTTCATTTTTTTATTTTTTCCCCAAAGTTATTTCTATCCACAATTTAAGGCACTGTGTCAGCATGATGTAGAGTGCTAGAAGTGAAGAAATCGGGGAACCCAGATTCAGTCCCCTTGTGCCATGAAATTCACTGGGTGATCCTGGGCTTATGGCACTCTCTCAATGCAACTGGCCCAAGATTAATAACAAAATGAGAAAGCAGGGAACCATATATGCTGTGTCAAACTTATTGGAGAAAAGATAGGATATAAAATAAATGAGAGAGGGAGGGACAGAGTGAATGAAATAAAGATCAAATGTGAAAAGAAAAAACAAGCAGAAAACCTGACAAATACAGCGTAACGTTTCAGACTAGAAAATCCAAGTATAAATCAAATGCTCTTGTCCACTTCCACATCGAATCTTATGTAAAATTCTGTTGACTAGTGTGTGTGATCATTTGGGCTGTTGCACGCTCAGATATACCCAGCTCATGCACTTGGTTGTATGCTCAGCTGTGCAACAGCCAAAGAGGGAGTTGTGAAAAGCGCAATTTCCCTTACGCACCTGGTACTTCATAACAGGATTCTGACCAAACTCCAAACTCTCTATTTGTACTTTATTTACTTAGTACAAACTATTTGTACTAATACTTCACCCCTATATGGAAATTGGTAGTGATCTTCTTACAGGAGGCAGATTCATAAGCCTCTATGTTGTTGGCCCGGCTCCAGAGAAGACCTTTTCTTTCATTCTTTCCCCTCCCCCTCTCTTTGTCTCCCAAAGATTCTCATTCTCAGCACTTCTGCTCCCCGTCTTCTCTCACATCAATCTGTACTTTGTCCCCAAGTGTTTTTTAATCAGTCCCTACTTCTCCCCCTAGCTTCCTCTTTGATCTCCTTCCTCTCTGTAAGGTTTGTAGTACTACAAATGTTGACCTTTTATCTCCTTCTCATTTGCTTCAAAGCCCTCCAAGATTTCTTTGAATTACATTGATGTGAGATCATCTCTGGTCTATTGAAATAACTTTGAACAATGTTTACAGAAAACTGATTCATAATCATTTGAAGCAGTACAGTAAATCTTGTGAATTCCACTAAAGGTGTGCCGTCTAGGTAACTGGCAGTCATGGTTCTTAGTTTATCATCATGGGGGTGCTACATACTAAGTTATCTGTTTATTAGGTTAATATTACATGTATTCAAATATACTGATTCGTATGTCAACAGAATTGGATGCAGGAGGGCATTAAACCTGCATCTGACTCAGTATCAACCCTTGCACATAAAATTTGTAACAAATAATTTTAGTAAGCTCTTACCTGCTTCAATTTTGTGCACAAAGCTCATGACAACGAAAAGCAAAAGGACACCCTTCACTTTTCTCGCCATCTTCTTCAGAAGGCTGTTATCAGTGAGCCTTTATGGGTTTCAGCACATAAAGATCAGAGGTCACCAGTGCGTAATTAACTTTGTCCTTTTTATGTAAAATAAACAACAGAACTTAGAGGAGTTCAGTTCAGTGGGTAATTTCTCAGTGGCCACAATTTACACTTCAAGTGATTACTCTCCTTATCAAGATGTAATTATTGTTCTCCATTTCTTCAGGTAGGAGTCTATTTAGCCTTTCCTGGAGATGCCACAGATTAAACGTTACACTTTCTACATGCAAAGCATTTGCTCTACCACTAACCAGCTCTTTTGATAGCCCATGCTGGCTAAGGATGATGAGTGTTGGAGTGCATTCCTGTATTAAGTGTTTTTAAAAGGATGCCTTTTCTGATGGCAGACTCATGTTTCTTATACCACACAACATTGTAATTTAGAAACAAACTCCAAATAGGATGGGTCCAATCAGTTAGATGCAGTTAGGTTAGATGATACCCATGACTCAATTCTGCCTGTGGGAACAGAAAGCCTACTCAATAGCTACTTAACAGTTAAGAAGCAAGCAACCTACCTTCCCAGGGGAGATGTGGCAACAAAATGAACTCTACCTACTTGGCAAGAATATTTGTCTTCACATTTTAAGAAAGAGTCATTAGCTTCTTTAAATCCCATGCACTGAATTTTATTGTATATAGGCAATGATCTATGAACATGTTCAAATTGGTCTGAGGGCTGCTCTTCAAGTCTTCAGTGAATTGTGCTATTCAAATCTCACCATTAAAACCATGTACACGACATACCACGTATTTCTTACTCAGTTACAACAAGTAAAACAAAAGGAATCCCATTCAAAAATATAACATAAAATACTTTAATGAATAATCAGATAGTGAGCAGCATGTAATGCCTGCTTTTGAATTGCTCTTATTTACATCTGATGTGTTAAGCTTGCTTCCCACCATCATTTCCTCTAAAGTATGTTTACTGCTGTCCACAACATACTGAGGAACTTGGGGGGGGGGCCTTGCCCTCCCTTAGGCACTCCAGAGTGGAAAGACTTTTTTGTTTCCTGAAGACAACAACTAGAAATTCACTTCTCTCGTTCACTGGATCCCTTCAGGCTTGACTTTTGCCTCTTCTTCTCTCTTTGTCCAATAATGCGAAACAGTTTCTTCCTTGCTTCTTTCTGCCTCTTAAGCTTCTCTTCCTCCTCTTTCTGTTTCCCCTTAAGGCGTTCTTTAAGCTGCTCGCGGTGTTTCACCTTGGCTTTTTGCAACTTGTAGCTGTGTATCGTACCCAAAGCAGAGAGAAGTGCTGCGATCTGAACACAACAAAGAACAGTGTGACATGTATCAACATAATGACAATGCTGGCCAGTGGCAAAGAACTGGAAAGCATAGGTAAAATTCAAATAATTTAATGACGAAAGGGAAATCAGACACTGTCCTGCTACCATGTTTTCCCAAAAATAAGACAGGGTCTTATATTAATTTTTGCTCCAAAAACACATTAGGCCTTATTTCCAAAGGATTTTTTTCCATGTACAACAATCTACATTTATTCAAATACAGCCATGTCATGTTCTTCTGGTTTCTGCACAATGGTGGAGGGCAGGCTTTCAATTAAATGGGGCTTATTTTGGGGGTGGGGCTTATATTAGTAGCATCCTGAAAAATCATACTAGGGCTTATTTTCAGGTCAGGTCTTATTTTCAAGGAAACAGGGTAGCTGGAGCAATGTAAGCAGCCATGTGTTCTAGGCTGTTACAGGTGGCACAAAGATTCAAATCAAAAGTGAAAAGTTATCCTTTTGTGCCTATATCAAGATACGTCTGCAAAATAAGGCTGTTGGTTCAGATCATTTTAGTGCCTTCCCCTCCTTCTAGCATAGCTACCTTGATTAATGTATATATTAAAAACAATCATTGTTGAACCTTGTATCAGATCAACATTCACACACAAGCAGGCGTGTAAGACACTTTGTGAACAACTAGTAAGTGCATATTTATTTGCCTCTTATCCTGACAGTTACCTCAGGCCTACATTGAATCACAAATTTATCTCCTTTTCCCCTCAGATACAGGGAAGCTGAAAAAAGTTAGTCACAGCTATCAATTTTGCTGGTGATTTTTGGATTTTTTTTTTAATTCACTGCGACTAAATTGGGAGCTTATGCTTTTAGGCAATATTTGCAATTCCAAATGCAACAGAAAAGTAGAACTTTTTAAAAAAACAAAAAGCAATTAATTCAAAAAATTAAGGGCTAGATTGATTGATTGATTAATATTATTTATATGCCCATGGGGGACCCAAGGTGGCTCACAATGATTAAAAATTTACAACACTAACAGGTTTAAAATACTATACAAAACTTTATTTAAAAAAAATTAAACATTAGACAATATTAAAATCAAGATTAAAAACAATTTGAATTTAAAAAAAACATTTGAAATTTCTAAACATAACTGATACAGCATTCCAATGACCCCCAAGCCTGCCTGAAAGGGAAGGCCTTTGCCTGACTGACAACAAAAGGACAATAGAGAGGGGGACAACTTGGCTTCTCAGGGCAGCACATTCCAAAACCTGCAAGCAGTCTTGGAGAAGTCCCTCTCTCATGTCCTCACCAAACAAGCTTGGGAGGGTGGTGGAACC